ATCTTTGCTTATAATGAAATAATCATGGTTTCATATTTACATTTGTTCTATAAAATCTATTTTCCATTTGTTCTTTTAGTTCAAAATCTATAATGTTTTAAGCCGATTAAAGTTGGTACCAAAATAACTTCCAATGAGTTCATTTTACTGTTTATAAAACAAAGAAAATAGAATATCATAGTTTTGTTGGGTATGTGCTTGATCTCAAGGAAATCAGTTGGTAAACTTCATATTCTTTTTGTAATTTAATTGTGAAAATTTGGAATTCTTATTTTCACATCAAAAGTACCCATTTTTATCTTCAGTTTGTGTTTCCCATATAGAAGGATCGTAAACATTATTGATTCTTTTTTTTCTTTTAGTATGCTATTTTGGGAAGTTTTTTAATGGGCATTCTCTATTAAACATATATACGCATCATTTTTGTGCTTGTTATTTGTTCGTTATTCTGGGCTGTTTGTAAAACTATAGATTTTCCCATCTGAATCTGATCTTCTTTCTCTAGTTACCAGGGTTGGTTACCTAACCACGCTTCACATACTTCATTTTGGATGACCGATTAGTATCACTAGACCTCCAAATTAAGGTGTAGTTCTATTTCAAGTAGATGGATTTGTATCTAGTTAGAAATTGAGTCGAAACTAGAAACAGTAAAATTATTATATATTCATTACTAACTAGCATTGAAATAATATTTTAGATGTTTATATGAGAAACTGATCGGAAAAATTAGTTTGGCAATGTTGGTAATTAGTCAGTTATCATGGATAGTTGAGGCGTATCATGAATAAACTAACTTCAAAATATAGTTCAATAGAACCGACTTATGTATGTCCCGTGACAACTACTAATAAAATATAGTAAATTCAATGAAATACTCAATTAAAAAACTGTCCATTTATCAACTTTAAAATGTTATGGATAATTTCAGTTAGTTTTGTTATCATCCACTTGTGTATTGGTTAGCTATCAGTTTCTGCCGTTTGTGGGCTTTATTGATCACTGATCTTTTAAACCAAATTTTTAAATAACTTTTAACCTCCCTGTTTATGTATACTATAACTCAGAATAATGTCACATAACCATTACATATATAAAGTTCATTGAGAGAACATTGTTTTTTCTTTGAACTTCAATAGAAGACCGAATTCTTACTGAATTATGTTATTTTCTGTCAAGAATTTAGACGATGGTTTTCTATTTTTTTTTAAACAACTGACACCGAATCACAAATGATAACCACAAGGTGAGCACCATTATCGAAGAATAACAAATTTCAAGTATCTTTAAGGAACACAACTATTCTAAATGCATAGTGGGAGGTATTTAAACTGGATTCATAATTCAACTGGTTTGATTTATAGCACTTTAAAAAATTCTGAAATCTTTTTTAACGAACTATATTCATAAAATGCTGGTTAATCTTTCCCAATGCCATATCAAATGCTACCTTCATAGAACTTAAAGTTGTCGAATTGTTATAACCTAGTAGTTTAAAACTTATCGATCCACAGTACAACTTGATAATGTCAGCCTCGATATTTCGTGGGAGTTGTGAATATCCAATGTCGTGAGGTTCCATTAAAGGGACGAAATAGTTATTCAAGAGTTGTTTCATTAAGGTCTATCATTGTGATGAAATTTATTTAAATCCAATTTTAGTTACTTAATGGATGATTTAGTGTTAAATATGGTCATTTTGGAATCTTTCAGATAATTTTGTACTTTACAACAAAATATTGGATGCTGAAGGTCATTTGTAAATTAAATATGACTGCACTTAATTAAGCTAAGAAAGAAAGCTTATCACATCTATATTCTATTGTTGAAATCATGAGGCAACTGAAGCTAAACCACCATGGAATACCTGGAAGCCCTGAATGGTGTTCTAAATTTAATTAATTTATGATTTCAGCAATAAAATTACTAAAATCTCCACAAAACCCTCTTCTGACATCTATATTCATACAAATCTCATTTCCCACTAATTCGTTTTTATAATGGTTTTTTGAATCTTCTCATTGATGTTTAGGGCTGCAGTTGATCAGTTTCTTATTAACATGTGTGCATAATGTATGGATTAATTCGATAATACCCTAAGTCATAAAGATTTTAAACAAAAATGAATGTATACATTCAGCTGACGAGTCCCAACTAAGACGAAACATGCATTCTTAATCCCATTATTAGTAACCACCTATCTCTGTTTATGACACTTATTTTCCACTGTTATTCTGTAAATAGTTCATTTTTTCAGATAACAAGATATATTATCTAATCAATATCTTCATAGTGGCAAGAGTGAGCCAATTGAAGCTAGACCACCAAAGAAAACCTGGAAGCCCTGCTTGACGGCCAACTCGTTCTATTTTGGGACTCCTCAGCAGTGCGCATCCACAATCCTGCACTCGTGAGATTGGAAATCAGGAACTATCAGTCTCGCGCCAGATCACTTAACCGATAGACTATTGAGCCTTCATCCGACGGTGTTAATGTCTAACTCTAACCAATCCACGAAGTTGAGCGACCGTCCATGCTTGCAACTATGAAAATACTAAATCTCCACAAAATTCCTTCTGATAACAATAATAATAATGAATATCTCTTCATTTCAGTTCTTTTATAACTAGAAAAATAGTCAAAATTTAAAATAGATACACAACTATAAACATAATAATATTAACTCTACATTAAATTAAGTTTGTTTATTCTATAATAGCCAATAATGATAGTAACAGATATGAATAAATAACCATTTGTTACATGAATTAAAAAAACAACAACAGAATATTTTCGATACGACGACAACAACAACAGGGACAACAACAACGACAGAGACAACTACAACGACAGGGACAACAACAACAACAACAGCAACAACGGCAGGAACAACAACAGTGAAGACTCATTATAACTTGTGGTTAAAAATGTTACCTTTTTTTCTTCTTCCATATACAATTAATTTCAAAATTCTATTATGAATTAAGATAGGAAAAAACACACACAATGAAACCAGACGTAAAAGGGGGGGGGGTAAAAAACAGAAGAAAAAAATCATAGTGGGAAACCTAAATAAACAAATAACCGCTACACTTGATGTATTCTACATGGAATACAATAATATTTTGAATTCATTTTTCAACAATATATAAATATTATAAGTAAAAATGGATAGTGGCTAGCAGTGGAATCCAGGATGCGCGTTTCGTCCTATATGTCTCTATTCATTTTCATTTATTCAATATTCAGTGGTAATCCTAATAAGGATAATGATAATTATGTTATGAATGCGTGTTTATTTAACATGGGTAACTAGGTGTTTGCGTGTCATTTCTTTCTGTTTATTCACAGTTAGAATATGTAAAATACACTAAATTATATTAAATCACGCTTAAGTTATAATAATAATGGTAAAATAAATGTAGAGAAAGTGTTTATTAGGACTAGAGAGAAATAAACGAAACATGGGAACAAACAACTGTATTTAAATGAATATATATTTACTACAGATATTTATTCGATACTGTGTTCTTACAACTGAAACTAACATAATATTTGAGATCATTAGTCAATTGAAGATAGACCACCATGAAAAACCTGGAAGCACTGAAGGCCGTTTCGTCCCACCGTGGGACTCTTCAAGAGCTCGATACAGTGAACGCCATGGGTTCGAATCCCGAGGGACGGAATCGTTGATGGGTAATCTAGCTTCAATTCACTCAACTATTAAATTACTATAATATTCACAAAATCCCCTTCTGTAACTAATATATTTAAATCTTATGAAAACCTAGTTACTCAGTTGGAAACTTTATTAATACTTGGACGATATTCAATGAAAATTAAATTAAATTTTACAAATCAAACTTTAGAATTCCAATTTGATGATACAATGATGACAAAACTATTATGTAATAAGAAAGTTTTAATTGTTGGATCGTTGATTCAAGGTTATGTATAGTTGTACATTACTATGACAAGTTATAACTTAATTGAAATTAAGTTCATTATTTTTAATTATTTGTTAGATGATGTCTGTTATGCTTATAGATTTTATTTATTTATTTAAACATAAATATTGGTACAAAAAGCATCAGATAAATATGCGCCACACAAATCTCATTTGATTTGTGTGAGGGCCGTGATACTGCCCAGGTGCCCGAACCGAAGCAGGTGGTTTTCTTAAAGGAGGCCACACCTGGAGCCTTTGACTCGAAGGTCTAATCCACAACGCAATGGAGCATTGTGAGGAGATGCAGTCCCATTGTATTCGATGACCAACAATTGATTTATACACTATTTGTTCCTTCAGGAAACTGGAACTCATGTACACCATTGGTTTGGAATCAGGGTTTTGTAACTCGCCTTGGTGAACTCTCCGTGTCCATCAACCCGGTTAAGTCGCCGGATATTCGCTTTTCGTCCTCTCAATTTCGTAAACAACACCCTTGTCAGGAAAAGGCAGTTAGTAGGACTTTCCTGGTAGAGGCTATATACACGTGGCTATGTGAGAGCATTTGGAGGGGGAGAGCGGACTCTCTCCACTCTCGGCCGTACCAGAGCATTCGGGGGCTAAATGGGATGTCGCTGCCAGTATGCTTATAAAACCCATAATTGAATTATGTTTGGTACTAAGATCTCAAATCTAACAACACGTATTGAGAACACAGAAACTGAAGATATGGATTTATTTGATTCCAGTAATAAATCACACTGACTTATATAATATATTCATAGTCGGATTAGTAGAAATTCAAATAAGTAGTGGTTATCATCAACTATTCAAAGACTTACTGTGTGAGTACATTATTAATCATATATACCTATAACTAATAACAGGTATAAATAATTAAGTTATATCATTACTCTTTGTCAATATGTGATTACATGTTTCGTATGACTGAAAAATAGATCAGTTTCAAATAAGGTTCACAAGTCAATCAATCTCAGTTTTGATAAGTTTAATGAAGATGTAAATAAAATTCCATTAAATTACTTACCTTATCATCATTGGTTGGTTCTGTGTCAAGAATGAAATGACCTAGAAAAATAAATCAACAAAAATAAATTATTATCAAGAAGAGAATTTGTGGAGATTGTGGTAATTTGATTGTGGAATTCATGAATCGATCAAAGTTAGACCACCTAGAAATATTGGACAACTGTTTCGTCCTAGCATTGAACTTCTCAGTAGTGCACATCTATGACCTCGCTCGCGGTATTTGATCGCAGAACCCTCGGTCTTGCACGCAAACACTTAACCTCTAGACCATCGAGCCATCATAATAATTCAAACATTAAAAGTAAAGGGATTACCATGACTGAATAAAGTTGTTATTAACATTGTTAAGAATCTTTAGTGTTTCTCTTTCAGATTGAAAAATTTCAAAGACAATGTAATACTTGAATTACCAATGAAACTGTATACTGTGTCAAGTATATTTAAATAAACACTTTAACTTAAATATTGTTTTATGAAGGTTAATCCAGAGTATTGTTTATTACTGTCCTACATTTAAACACATCACGTACTTTCATAGTTGAAAGCATGAGTCAATTGATATTAACTGATAAACAATAACTGTCTATAACTGACAGTCATACTAATTTGATTACTCTTTAAACTATAGTTACTTATTATGGAGGTTTGGAAAAAGGAATCCTTAATGCATGTCAGTCTTACTCAAATCAGTTAAGTCCTCTTTAACCATATCATTATTGACTATCAGAAATACATACAAGCTGATCTTTAAAGTGAGGAATAAACGGAAACTAATGTCATAAGTGAATATTAACCACTTGTTTCATCAAGAAATCAATGAAAGATAAAGTTTATATATAGAAAATTGATTTTGAGATGTACTGCCTAAATTATATTATCATGAAACAGAATTACCTATTAGGCGTCAAACAAAGCTCTACACACTGTGATGATACACGGGCTAAAAACAAATAATGTATATACTATGGACACACTATATACAACTACTATAGTGGAGATTGACAAACCTAATATATTAACCCATTCATTTATTATAGCCAACTATCAAGTCATAAATTAGTGTTCAAATGAAGCTTTCCAGTTATATTCATACTTGCAACTTCGTTAAGCTATCGAAATCAATATCGATTTGTTCTTGAAAGGCACCACAGTCTATAAAATATGTAGTTCCGCACTGTGAACCGAAAAATATTTAGCGACAATGTACCTGGTGAATTCTATTTGACTGTGTATTATTAAAGTACGGTTGGATAAACATATTAACCTTCGGTTATTTGATGTTAATTACTCCATATCAATTGAATTGAAACGGTTCTTTTAAAGTAAATAATACTCTGGGGATCATTGAGTTTGAATACCAAATATGAGCATTAAAATTGACACTTGACCTTAACATTTATACTCAGTTAAACAAACATAAATTTAAACAAAAAATCTATTACCTAATCAGCAAAATATTTGAATATACATTATTTGATATGACAAACCCTCTAAGATACACTGACAGCGAACTGTGTTGATGGCTTTTTTTTATCTCAGTTTGTCAGAAACACTTGGAAACATTATACTCAATAATAGATGTCTGGCCATAATGAACTAACCATACAAAACTTTATTCTATGTTCCTATTTATATTCAGTCAGTAAGAAACCTTGATATAGTTTTAAAATGATTTAATGAATAGTGATAAAATTTAAATTCACTCGGTATTGTTAACTTGAATCTTCGCATAGATGTTTACTGATGCAAAAATGATCAGACTCTTATTGATAGGTGTACATACTGTGCATATTGCATCGATATTGCTTTATATCACAAGCATTATAAGCAAAGATGGATAGTGGCTAGCAATGGAATCCAGTTCTGAACATTAATGAGAAGATTCAAACAAACCATACAAAACATATTTAAATTTTACCCCATTGGACAAGCAAGTGGCTATCATTACTCAGTAGCTGAGTGAATAACGCGATGGCGCTTGAGACGAAAGGTACTGGGTTTGAGTCCCAGAGTGAAGAACAAGTCTGGATTGCAGGTACATGTAGATGATGAGTCCCAAATAGGATGAAAGGCGTATCATTGATTCCACTGCTAACCACTATCCATCTTTAATCATAAAACTCGCTGTAAATATATTATTTCACTTAAATTATACACCTTTTCACTAGACAATAAATCTTAGGGAGATTACAAGTTACAGTACGAATCAAAGGATTCACTAAATACTTTTCTTATCTCAATATGAATTATTTTTAAACAAACGTCTGGACACTAAATAAATCATAATCACAGCATTCAGTTACCATAACATTTAAGTAAATCCTTTTTTACCTAATTCTATAACAGCACATAAAATTAACGATTCCTTCACAGAAATATTTAAACAAAAAAATAGTAACCAATAGAAAATGAAATTGAATTTTTAAAATAATAAAACAGCATGGCAACAAATTTTCATTCAATTAAATTTTTTTTTGAAAAAAAAACGATTCATTTTATTCGATTTACAAAACTGACGCCAAAAGTTAATTTTTTTGTTGCTAAGTGAATCGAAATTTCAACAAAAAAAGTAGAAACAGTGTGAATTTTTGGGAATTTCACTAGTAATGCCTTATACCTTATATAGAATATATATTTTGGTGTGAAAAAAAAACAAAAAAAGAAAAACAATTTATTCTATGATTATGTAACCATGACAAAAGAATAATGAAACTAGCTTTAACCATTTGTTACGCAATATGAGAAATATAAACCCAAGAGTGAACCTTTTTCCCCTATATATATATATATATATATATATATATATATTCTATGTTTAACAACCGATTTCTAATGTATGATAGGGAAATTTAGGAAAAAAAAGAATGTAACTGGTATAATTAATATTAGTATAAAGTAAAATGTATGTTAATGTGAATAATCAGCTGATTAGTAGTAGTAGTAGTCTGGAAAATTTAATTAGCATAAAAGTAATTATTTTGATGTGTTCCCACTAATGTAAAAATGGTAATTAGAAATCAAGTAAAGAAAACTAACTATGACAATGGTTGAGGTAGTATTCGATAATTAAATTATAATAGATGATCCTCCAACCATTCTATCCCATACACACGTCCAAATGCAAGTCAAGATAGCCAGTGTTTCAGAATCCTCTGCATCAGTAGTCCTCAACATACATAATAGAAAAAGCAAGATCCTCAAATTCAACAAGAAGAACATCGACCTAATCACACTTGATGGAGAAATTCTGTGAAAGATGGAAAATTTCACGTACCTGGATATCCTGATCGATGTACAAGAAGAATGCGATTCAGATGTGAAGGTAAGGAGTGGCGAACTAAGGGCAGCATTCCCACATTTGAAGAACAAGTGGGACACAAAACAACTGTTAACCAATATCAAAGTTACAATCTTCAATACGAAAGTTAAGACAATCCTATTGTACAAAGTTGAAACTATGAAAATCACCACAATCATCATCAAAATGTACAAGTATTAAAAAACAGTTGTCTACTTAATATACTCAACGCAAGTTGACTGGATACTATCAGCAACAGCCTACTGTTGAAGAGAACAAACCAGCTTCCAGCTAAAGAGGAATTAGAGAAAGACGTTGAAAGTGTATAGGACACTCATTGAAGAAAACATCAAACTGAATTACTAGGCAAGTGCTAATTTGGAATCCTGGATGGAAATGGAAAAGAGTATGGCTAAATGACACACTTCGTCAAGAATCGAAAGCGCAAATGAAAAGAATGAATAACAACTCAAAAGGACTACCTAGAACAGAGTTGGACGGTGAGTGTTGGTGAAGGTCCTATGCTCCTCAACGAGGGGTAACAGTAGTAAGAAAATACTGCACAATTCAAAAATATTTCAATAAGTAAGCTATTATTGTTAAACTTTGGAAATAATGAAAAATCTGTTAAACATATAGCAAGAAAATCACTGAACGCATAATGCAGGTGTTTATCAACAGTTGTCTACGCAAGATACTTCGGATCCATTGGCCAGACATTATCAGAAACATTCTAATGCGGAGAGAACAAACCAGATTCCATCCAGCGGAGGAATAAATCGGAAGAAGCGCTGAAAGTGAATAGGACACACATTGAGGAAATCACCCAACTGCGTTACACGACAAGCCCTCACATGGAATCCTGAAGGTCAAAGGAGAAGAGGAAGACCAAATAACAGATTACACCAAGAAATGGAGACAGACATAAGAAGAATGAATTGCAATTGGATAGAACTAGAAAGGAATGCCCAGTACAGAATGGGTTGGAGAATGCTGGTCGGTAGCCTATGCTTCATTAGGAATAACAGGTGTAAGTAAGTAGGTAAGTATGTATTTTATTTCAAAGGAAGTTAAAGTCGAACGGTAAATTGAGAGGATTATTAATTTTAGAGTACAGTTAATATAAACAGACAACCTTCTTATAGATCGATATACTTCCATAATTATGTAAATTTGCTGCTGTGAAATATAAGCTAGTTTAGTTGGTTAAATTAACAGAAATGTTTGATAAAATGAAAGTCAAGTTAAGTGTAAAAAGAACAATTGAGAACTGAATTCGAATACTTCTTATTTAAAATATGTGTATGTTAACAATAATTTCTATGTACTTTATATTCTTGATCACACTCAACGTGAGTTCCAGGCGTTTGGGAATTTTACCAAAATTAATGCTTTATATTTAAGAAAATATTTTTTAGAGTAACTTCATCTGTAGCTTCTTTAGAGTTACTGCCGGTTCCAAAGCCCGGGTGAAGGAGGATGGTTAATCATGGGGTTAGCAACCCCATCTCGTTGAAAACAACCTTGTTAAAAAAAGAGCTAACATAAGTATTCTTGCCGTCATCATACTGAAATAAACTGGTAATTACTTAAATCTTGAATCCATGAAACAATACTCATACTTCAAGGGTGGTCGAAATCAGATTTCATTTCATGGAAACAGATTAAATATAAATTGTGAAAATAAATAATTTAAAAATGGTTTTTGTTACCAATTGAGAGCACCCGAAGTTTTACATAA